TTTTTTTTCGCCGTGTACCCTGGTGGACGTTTACCGACGGCTTTTCGATCTCTAAACTGTATGTAAGGAGAGGATATCGGTGTTTTTTTTTTTTTTGTTATTGCTGAGAACAATGCGTTGAAACGTAACGATTCGAGTTGAAGTGATATGCTCAGCTGTGAAATACGCGGTCTCTGCCAAGTGGAGCGTTCCAGGCAATCAATACCGTATCTAGACATGTTTAGAACAACTCGCGTCTCTCGTTTGTTCGTAAGCAGAGCTTGGGCCATTTCGCAGTGTGTAAAACGGCTACGACTGACAAGCCTCGACGCAACAATTCAAGTATAATAATAATAACAACAATAGTTTGTGCGATTATCGTGTGAAGATATAACCAATTAATCGTGACGATACTGTTTCCACAGCCCAAAGAAAAATATGCCTGTCTTCTGGGGTGTTGCGCCATGTGGTTTGTTATAAATTGACTAGTCTTTCCGAGATGCTTACTTCCCCCAGCATCAGGATGATGATGACTAAGGCACTGAACACCTCTGCAGCATTGGTCGGTTTCTACAAAGCTACGCGGCGTAACATCCTAGAATACATTATTCTTCATTCTCGCCGCCTTGAGAACCTGAAATGCCACTCCAGAGTTTCGACTTAATAAAATTGTGATAACAGTTGATGAGCTTGGTCTCTTGTCCATCTGCTGCTACCTTACGACTGTATGGACCTAAAGAATGCTTATATTTATATGTACATATGTTATCAGTCATCATCTTCATCGTGTGTTCTACAGACCTCGACCGCCCCAATATGTTATCAGTACGCTCGATATATTACAGAAAGCTTTGTGCCACAACTGGCGTATTTGTTATCGTCATCAGGAATGAAAGTTTACTTGAAATTAGAGTACGATTTCAATTAAATTCCAGCTTATTTATATTCAAACTCGTCAGGTATAGAGTTGCATAATTCTGGTGTCTCAAATACGCGGTCTCAAAAGAGACCCTATGACAAATTCGTAATAATTTCTTTTTGGTGGTGGTAACACCCCACCCCCGGTGAATGTGCAGCTTCTGCATGGAGTCCGTGATTCTGCAATTACCGTACCAGTGTTGTTCCTTGTCACAGAACACTTACACCAACGCGGAGAAGCTCCTGACGGCAGCAGAGGAATTAGCACAGACGGGCGAGTGCAACGCCGATGAAATATACTCCGTGGCTCACGAGTTGGAAAGTCACGTGACAAGCTTTGCTGCCCGCGTCGAGCAGAGACGCCAGCGTCTTGACCTCGCTGTGCTCTTCTACAGTCACGACAAGGAGGTAAGTCCGGAAGAACTACATCGTATGTGGACTGTACGTTCATCAACTCTTTGAAGCTTTGAGAGACGGAGGGTGTTAGGAAGGAGAGCAAGAGAGCAGAAAGAAACGAAAATTGGTGGGGGAGAAGTGAGTGACACTTTATTTCTTTGGGATTACAGTTAGAAGGTTCCCAGGCAGTGCTCGCTCGCCCTTCCGGTAAGTAACGAGAAAGAGTGAAGACGTCAGGACGATAATTAGTGAGAGCTTGTTGAAGTCGAAGCTCGTCTAAATCAGTGGTATTCAACCTTTTTTTGTTCGCGTACCCCCAGATATAATTTCTCTTCAACTTTGTACCCCCAAAGTTGTTGGTGTATAATTCAAGTTATACATAGTATATAATCTACATCTAAAATAAATAAAATAAATTACATTACTGATTATTCAGTGTTTATCATAATTTTTTTTTTAAATTTCACGTATCCCCTAAGATGTCTTCGCGTACCCCAGGTTGAATACCACTGGTCTAAATAATATCTAAGAATTCAGCCCGTACCGTAAAGAGAACTGCGCGTCTCCTTTACAAAGATAAAGTGATACAATAATTTATTTACCGTCTATACACAAACTTAAAAATGTTGTTTAAAATTACTTAAAATTATAACATTTTTTCATTAGATACTGGATCTTGTTACATTTTATATTGACGACATGTTTCGATGTGTATTACATCATCATCAGGTCTATCAATTTTAAAAACTGTTTTAAAAACTGTTGCACATCTTGCTTTGCGTATATTGATTTGTTTGATTTTTAAGTCTCTTCCTTTAAATGTTGTGCTTGGATGTTTTATATCGGGTTGTAAGTGATGTGTTGTGTGTCCGATATTAAGGGACGGTAGATTGCAAGACAATTGATAGACCTGATGATGATGTAATACACATCGAAACATGTCGTCAATATAAAATGTAACAAGATCCAGTATCTAATGAAAAAATGTTATGATTTTAAGTAATTTTAAACAACATTTTTAAGTTTGTGTATAGACGGTAAATAAATTATTGTATCAATAAAACACAAACATGACGCAATTAAGATATATATATATAAAAAAAAAAGATAAAGTGGTTAATGTTGTGTGCTTCAAGTGTGTAACCACGCAGGCTAAGTTCCTAGACGCCAGAGATGTCTTTGCCCCAAGTAATTTGCTCGTAACGGTGAATTTGTAAACGTGCCTGTTCAGACATCGGCCGTATAACAGGCGATCTTTACGGAGTGATTTCGTGGTTTTCCCCACAGTCTCTCTTGGTATTCATGCGACGCCCATTGAACTGTAACGCGGCCGCTTCGTTTTAAAGCGTTGTTTACTCACCATTCATGACTATGTTAGATTCTCATTGGACATTTTATAAAATCTGCAGTTGATACGGCATCGTTACGTAACCTAAGAATTAATCTTGCTTTCGTAATCCTCGTAGAAAACACTAAAATTCACAGTAGTTGGGGAACTTTCTGTGGAAGGAGATTATTGATTGACGCCCTCACGTTGTCATCGAAAGAATTGACTTTCTTGATGTCAGCCTTGAAGTTAATTTGTCTTACATAACCGACTTAACTGGATTTAAGTACTGCCGGTTAATGTTTCTCGCATTATGCCACGTTCAGTCGACGTCCATCTGTCATGTCTGAACCTGGAGTTGGCTGACAAATGCCTCTGCTACGCTTGACGAATAGTCCGCGCCATGTTGCCTTTGCAAAGAAAGACATGAATAATGTGCCTTCTTCAGTGACCCCGCCCTCGTGATTTCTAATTTTAAACAGTGGTAGTCTATTTCAGTGCCCACATAAATCGGAGTAATTTAATTTCAACGTGTGCTGTGTATGTCTGCGTTCACGTGTTTAGATTACATGCCACACACACACACACCATTGACGGAGAAGTTACGGCGATCCGTACCTGTCGTCACCATCTCCAGAGTCGTGTACCTGAAATGGTGTTTTGAGTTGGGGATGAATCCTAAATGTTTACAGAATTCAACGCTGTGTTGTTGGCACGTATTATCCTTGAGCTGAACGTAAAAAGGGAACTATACATTCGAGGGTGCGTTTTCACGTATGAAGATTGCTGTTTCGGAGGTTATTTCTGCCTCCATCATCATGGCGATTAGTAAGCCGCGTACGAAGAAGTAAAACCGATTTCTGACGATGGAGGGAACGAGCACTCCAGAAATACCAGTAATCTTGCGTGGCGCAGCTGCCCAGAAGATGGCAGTCATCATACTCGCCGTCCTGAGAACTTGAAGTCGCATGCCGTGCCCGATTACCCGGTCGTCTGTCAGCAGTGGTTCATAATTATTCCCCCTTGTCTCTTTCGACGCTACGTAACATCGGAAGTTGATACAGCGTTAATCTTTTATCAAGGCCACGAGGTGTTGAACTACAGAAGTTGGCGAACTGGTAAATAAGCTGCTTGTACACGTGCGTGGGTTTATGATTGATTAATTTGTAGGTTATTTAATGTCGCTGCGGGGCGGATGAGTGACGATGCATTTGCACGCAAGTAGGTCATTTGGAATTATGTAGATAACATTCTACTTCTACTGGAGGTAAAAATTAAATTTAATTATACGAGTTGACTGATAAAATCAACCGAGTTGCCTTAACTATGAACTACTCCGAGATCATGAAACAAATCAAATCATATCTGATCGTAAAAACAGAATTTACATCAACTTTTTGGGGAGTAATTACATTTCTTCGTACGCTACGGCGTAGGCTCGTCGTTTTGGGTCTGGTACACCGATTGTGGGTTTTTTTTTATGGTGAGGCTTTTGAAACACGTGTTCTGCCTCCTACTCTTCGAGAAAGAAATGGAAATGGGTATTTTAACCAAATGTATTCTCTAAGTAGCAGTTGTCACTGAGGAACTTGCATCCTTGAAAGCTGAGATTCCATAATCGGAGTTCTCGTATTAGCGGAAAGCCTAAGTTAAATTCTCAGCTTCGACGGACTATACACACTGTGGTTTTGTGGCTGATTTCATGGGATTATCTGTTGTCCAAATAATATGTGTAAGCAGTGTGGGGCGGTTTTTTTTAGTATTTCGTATTGCAGCTTGCCGGCTGGGTAGACGAACTGCGCCAGGAACTGCAGAACGATGAAGCAGCGGATACCCTCGAGGCAGCTGAGAGGCTACTAGAGCAGTGTGGCCAACAGCGCGACTCCTCGTTGGACGCTTGTGTCAGCACCATCGCGCGGGGCGAGACACTGCTGCAGGAGCTACGGTGAGTTGTGTCTTGTTATACACCGGGACACACTGCCTCCATCTTCAGTATTTCTGAAGATGAAAGCCGTATGTTTTCTCGTGAAATGAAATTGGAACCATGCGGGTTCTGTCGATAGATGCTCCATGTCGCCATGAGACGTCAGATATATATCGAGCTCTTACGCCCTTGTCCGCTGTTAGGGGCAGAGAACTCGCATGTCGTTCATTACCACCCGCCGTTTTCTGTCGACGTAATAAACACTGAAGCGATATGACGTGTTAACGTGAGTGTCAGTGCCTTTCAATTACAGTTAACCTCGGATTAAATAAGTAACCCTAGCTTTCCCTCTTGTACTGTAGCAGGCTTGTCAACGTGATATGCAACACTCGACAGGGCTACTTCAACGACAGTTTACACCTGGATTCAGTTTCTCTGTGTAGTGTGTTAACGCCACATACTGTGACTCAGCTGAGCGACACAAGTTGGTTCGAAATGGATACAGTTGCTTCATTATTTTATTTAGTGTTCTGTCTGACGACAGGTCCATATGAACAGGATCCTTCCATCCTTTTCTCGGACTGGGACCCGTTCATATACGTTCTTGGCAAATGATCCAGAAGTGGTTTGCCATTGCCTTCTTCTGTGTGTGAATGGAGTAATTGTTGGGATGCCACGGAGGAAAACTCCGTGTTGCCTAGACCACGGCCTTGCCCAACACAAGTTATAAATTCGGGCACCGCCGGGAATCGAACCCGAGACCCCAGGATTACAAGGCCAGCGTTCTAACCGGGTTTCATTTTATTCCCAAAATAAACGGTGGTTATTTTCCGAATTAGTCAGCTAGGTGTTAGGAATATACAGACGATGTTGATCTGCTTGAAGAATAAATAAAGTATTAATGTTACGTAACATTTATATTTTCCTTAGTAATTTTATACAGACCATTCTTTCAAACCTGAAAGCATCGCCGTGCCAGATAGGCAACTTCTTCGACGAATGTGCCTGGCATGCCTCTCTGCATGGTCAGGAAGTTGTTTTTAAACGCTGAAGAATTCACATGTTCGTCACCACAATGAACAGAACGTAGTAGCAATTGGGTGTTTCGAACTCGTGTTTCGTGTTCGGGAAGTCCCGGGTTCAAATGTAGGCCCCCGAGACCGGCTATCCTGAGGTTGTATGTTTTTCCTTCAGTCTTTGTAGGTAACTGCCAGGATATGTGAATGAGGCCACAACCCCGCAACCATTTTTAATAATATTCCGCCAAATACGAAAATTAATAATTGAAATCCGTTGAACACTTCAGGAGAAGAAATTGTGCTAACGTTTTATTACGTTCTTCTCGCAAAGAACGTGTACAGACGGAACAAATCCGTACTTGGAAGTTACGCAGCTGAAGACAGTTAACCCCGCGTTTTTGCTGTTTAACATTCGAAGCCTGTCGACAGGTAACTGCACGGAACAAGTTGCCTCCTTCCTCGTCCGGTGTGCTCGCTAATGTTATTGCGCAGTGCCTGTACAGGGAAAGACGCATGTCGCATGCCCTGACACTAGTTCACTCTGAGGTAACCCCACAGTCCCTCGGGATCATATCATTAAGTGGGATTAACAAGGCTGGACTCGGTTACAAGTGGTCAAAGGGGTTCAGCGCGCAAGTAATTTGCCGGCGAAGTTGAGAAGATTAATGGGGACGTGGTGTCTCTCCACCACTGCAGTGAAGTGAGTTGTGTGGTCCTCCGTAGCGTCTAGATTCAAGTGTAACTTCGTTACCACGGGTTTTCTAGCGAGAAATTTGTCTCGGCAAGAATATCTTATAGTGTAAGAGTATGAAGTCATTTTCTGCGAACTTTGTGTACTTGATAGAATTTGAGGTTTTCACGCCGCGGAGTACTCATCTCCCTGGTGATGGAGGCGGCAAGAACCTCCGAAACGTCGGTGAACTGGTACGGCGCCACAACCCAGAAAACAGCCATCTTTATGTGTAACCGTTTAGTGTATCATAATTTGAATGACGATGTATTTATCAACTCAAAACTAGCTGCCCGCTTTTCTCAGTTTATTTGTTATTGAAATTTGAGTGTATTTCTTGTTTCCTTGATTTAAAGTGTGATTGTTAACTGTTATTTTAAATCTCCGACAAAGAATACCAAGTTTAAATCTCGCGTGGGGTTTGATTCTTGGAATAAACAGCGAATGTTGTATAGTATTATAAAAGTGTTCCGTGAACACTTTTTTTTTTACTTATAGAAAACACACCGAACACGTGCTTTGCGGAAAATTTCTGTCTGTATCTTTCGGGTCCAAGTGTCGTTATAATTACTGTATAAAACTTAAAACTGGGCAAAAATGAATGTATTTTTCTTTTTCTTATCCTTGGGTCTCGGGTTCGATTCCCGGCGGTGCCCGAATTTATAACTTGTGTTGGGCAAGGCCGTGGTCTAGGCAACACGGAGTTTTCCTCCGTGGCATCCCAACAATTACTCCATTCACAAACAGAAGAAGGCAATGGCAAACCACTTCTGGATCATCTGCCAAGAACGGATATGAACAGGTCCCAGTCCGAGAAAAAGATGGAAGGATCCTGTTCATATGGACATGTCGTCAGACAGAACACTAAATAAAAAAAAAGTGACGATGGAGGCACTAATCATCTCCGAAACATCGTTAACTTTCACCCCAATACACGGCGGAACATCCCAGAACACAAATTGTTCTTTCCAAAGCCCTGACGAAGTTAAATGTCCGCACGGCAAGCTGAGATGCAGATGTTCAGTCGGCGTTGCCTGGAGCGATTCTTACTTAAAATTTATAGCGCAATTTGGCAGCTTCCTTGAGTCTGATCGCAGAACTTTTTTGTTTTCCCCGACATCAGTGTGACGTTTGGTTTCGATTCCGTAAGTGTTTCGTTTGCTCTCTCTCATCTGCGAGCAGCTGAAAAAGCTTAAGAGTTGTGCGTGTTTATATCGACTTAAAACTGCAGTTTCGTGTTATCGAAAAGTGCGTAGTTACTGCACTACAGTGAATGAAGTCGTCAGCTTCTCCTTTCCCCATTGCGTGGGCATCTCGTCTTGAAGACGCGTGTAGGAGAATGGAACCCCTGTCTCTGGAGGAGATTAGAAATGGGAAAGTTCTGGATGCATTGTAACTTGGTGGGGATAGACTGCTGGAATTAATTTATACAAAGCACGCTTTCGTATTAAGTACATGTACACGTTGGAAGCTCATATCCGTTCCTTGTTTTGAACACTGCGTTTACCTTGATAAAAAGGTAATAGCAGTTTTATAGGGCTGTAAGGTCCTCCAGTATGCTTCTGCTTACACTCACCCAGCGTTATAAAAATCTGAAGAATTAACGGGTGGTATCTTTAAGGCTTTGACCGGGATGTTCTTTTGTTAAATCTTATGTGGTACCGCCTGATTCGACTTCTAATGGTTAAGTGAAGTGTTTTCTTCGCGGTACGGTCTGGATTCGTAAATAATATTCAGACGAGCTTCGGCTTCAAAGGGTTAACCAGCTGATTTTCGTAATGGTGAGGTGAAGTGTTTTCTTCGCGGTACGGTCTGAAAAAGCTTAAGAGTTGTGCGTGTTTATATCGACTTAAAACTGCAGTTTCGTGTTATCGAAAAGTGCGTAGTTACTGCACTACAGTGAATGAAGTCGTCAGCTTCTCCTTTCCCCATTGCGTGGGCATCTCGTCTTGAAGACGCGTGTAGGAGAATGGAACCCCTGTCTCTGGAGGAGATTAGAAATGGGAGGTTCTGGATGCATTGTAACTTGGTGGGGATAGACTGCTGGAATTAATTTATACAAAGCACGCTTTCGTATTAAGTACATGTACACGTTGGAAGCTCATATCCGTTCCTTGTTTTGAACACTGCGTTTACCTTGATAAAAAGGTAATAGCAGTTTTATAGGGCTGTAAGGTCCTCCAGTATGCTTCTGCTTACACTCACCCAGCGTTATAAAAATCTGAAGAATTAACGGGTGGTATCTTTAAAGGCAGATGCTCCAGACTCAGAGGCTTATTACCGTCTCGTGATTTCTTTACTTAGTGTCGTGTTATCATGTTCTTGAATGAAAGACTTTGAATAGCGACCAACCATCTTGCTACTGAATTCCCTTCGAGAGGCTTGTGATATTATTTAAGATTGTGGGACTGCTTTTTCATCGCAAGGAAAACAAAAAAAGAATGAGGCGCTCTAGAAGAACTTAGTGTCGAATGTAATAAGAAGCCTCTCCTCTCGTCTCTCCCACCTCAGATCTTCCTGAGTCTCTTCTCAATTTTATCTTTGTTTTAATAGGCTTAAAATGGCTTCTGTCTTCATTTGTTTACTGAAGCTTGGAATGGGTATGAAAGAGACTTTTGTAGACACGCTGCCTTATTTTCAGATGTTCTGTTTCCTCTCCTGCTACATGTTTAATTTGTGAGACTAATGAAGCAGAAACGAGGGTCACCTACCGGTGATTACTCACCTCAGAATTTCGTTTGTACTTGGTTTATTATGAGGACCTCTGAACTCAGTACAAGCATGATGTCAAATGTTTGCGTTAGTGAAATTGGTTGACACCTTTTTTTTTTTTTTAATGTCTGAGACCACTTGTATTCAGAGTGAAGAGGTGACCTGTTTTTCTTCGCTCAAAGCTAATCTGATTGAGATCAGTGTGTATGTAATACGTGGAGTGGGACAGGGATTTCATTAGGGAGTTATCTCGTGGTCAGAATATTTTGTTAGAATCCACCTGTTCTGTTGGATCCGGTAGGGCGAGATCCACAGATTTGGAACAGATCAGTCCGCCTGACCCAACAGTAGTCGTGTCCTTTATACCTGATAACAGAGGAAGATCCATGCTTTGAAACATTGAGATATTTAAAGGAATTTAAAAAAAATCCTCGGACGATGGGCAAAATCCAAAATAAATTACGTAGTAGTACGTGCCATTGTTTATACTGCTTCCGTGTCACTGCCGCTAAAGTTGGGGATGAACTGAAAAGATGGGAATGAAGTGTCAGTCAATATAAAGACAACTTGTCGCCTGAAGACAAGTCTAGAGCTGCGTCGAGTGTTATTTACTTATGGAAGGAAGGTATGATGTAGTGTAATACTGATTTGCAGTAATTTTTTTAGGAGCGCTGGAGTTTCTGCTGAGATGGACTCTACAGGGTCAGTAGCTGCTGTGGAGGCTGCACTAGACAGGCTCAACAAGCAGCGTGAAGAGCTTCAGGAACTCTGGGCTACCCGGAAACTGAAACTGGACTTATGCTTGAGGTTACGGCTGTTTGAGCGAGATGCCCTGGAAGTGTCATCGCAGCTGGAGCTCTGGTCCGAGGAGCTGCAGCATACTGAACTGAGTCGTGACACTCAGAAGGCGGAGCAGTTGTTGAGGCTTCACAACGAGAGTGTCTCTCACATGCAGAATACCACATTCCAAGTTTTGCAGTTGGGTCAAGAGCTTGCTCAGGTCAGTGATCTCGATCTGTTCATTGTCACTTTTATTTCTATTTTATTTATTCAGTGTTCTGTCTTACGACAGGTCCATTGCTCTGCCCAAAAAGAGCTCTCCAGTTGTCCCTATTCTCGGCTTCTCGCTTTAATTCCTGGAACGTCATCTTCTTTCCTTGTTTAAGATCGTCGGTTAGCTGTATCATCTCCTCAATACTTCTTCGTTGGTCACTCGATCCGTCCACCTGATCTTCTCTATTCTTCTCCAACACCAAATTTCACTTATGAGACATTATTGTCAGCATCACATTTCAACCCTTTCCCATATCTCCCTCTCTCCCTCTTCCCCTTCTTCCTCTGCTGTCCTTCCCACTCACTCCTCCGACATATTCGTCTTCTCCTCTCGGTGTCAAATGAGAAATGAAATCTTTCGAGAAGAAGTGGGAATCAAAAAATTTGTTATTGAAATCAGAAGAAGAGTTACAAGAGGAATAACAGTTTAAAGCAAAGAAACACAATGGGTGACTCTGAACAAGATTTTCAAGCCATGTACTAGAAGATGGCAAGATGAGAGGGAACAGGTGGAAGAAAATCATGGGAGACTTTTTATCTGTGGTCTTAGATTAAATGGAAGTGATGCAAGATGATGATCTGTGGCTTTCACCATAGGTTTTATCTGTATAATAACATTCTTATTGTAGAGAATATAATTAAACTTCAAAAAATGTTGTTTATGAATTGTTTTAGGCATTTGAGACGTCAGGAATGTCTCTGATGGCAGATAGCCAGTACTCTGCACAGACACGTGTTCAGGTGTTGCTGGAATTCCTGCACGAGCGAGAAATGGACTTGGAGGACCTGGCCGAAATGAAACGCGTCAAGTTGGAGCAGTGCGTCCAACTTTGCCAATTTCAAAATGACGCAAACCAGGTAACAGTCGCCCTGGAATCGATAGTCACTGTCGAGCGCACTTCTGACTAAACTGTGTGGACTTTTATACGAACTCATTACTTTGGTGGGAACACGTGTGGAAGATGCCACTTTCAGACATATAATTACAAAATAATATTAGATTGAATCACTTTGCCAAGTATTTGTATGGATTCACATAGACTCTGAGCCATTAACTTCTTATACCTATCTAATAAACAAAATGGCAGACCAGTTTTAGGGCTGGTGAATGTTTGATAGCAATTTGTATAGTAGTTACGCTGTTATCACCATGCACAAACGAGTGATGTTTTGAAATATTTGTCAGTGGTATATTGTCCTGATCATGTGGTATCAGTTTTGTGGTTATAACATTATGGGCTGAAGTTAAATCCTTCCTTAAAAGTCTTCCCCCTCATTTTTGGTGAAGTTTAGAATACTTACAAGGAAACATTAGAAGTTTTCCAAAAGAGCAATTGAAAAGTAGTGATACGGCATCATTTGTCACATTAGTCCAATTTCTTATGTAATAAACACCATTAAGCACGGGGCAGAGAAAATTATTGACATCACATGATTTATGTATTTTATTTAACAGTATTTTCAGTGGCTCAGAGTTCATAAGGGCCGTTTCACACTGTCGACCGGTCGCCGGCGACCCAGTCGCTGAACGACCAAAACCATCAGCGACCAAACGAGGAGACCAGACTTTGGAAGCAGTCAAGCAGTATGGACGTCGAGGAGATCACTATAATTATAAAATTTGTCAAACAATTCCACAACCTCTTCCCACTGACTTTTTTTCAACTCCCTGTTTGCATAATCGGGACTTGCAAGGTTCGAAATGGCTCTTCGTGACTCTACAGCCGAAATAAATCTTTCAGTATCAAAACGCATGATATACTGATCACTTGAGTGACATGATCAAGACGGGAGAAAACAAGAAACAACGGATATGTCACCTCTCTGAGCTCTGGTCGCTGACTGAGTCGCCCGCAATTTGAACGCGTGATTGCCATCTGTGTATCTCATGGTCGTTGGTCTCCTGTGCGTCGCTTACTGCTTGTTGGTTGACGGCGGCCATTTGTCGCGGTCGCCCTCGTGTATAAGCTCGTACTTAGCTTTTCTACCTAGTGGTCGTTCAGCAACTGGTCGCTGGCGACCGGTCGACAGTGTGAAACGGCCCTAATGTCAAATGATAGGATGTACAATGGTTAATGAATGATAAATACGAACGGGTTAGCCAGTCTCCTGAGTAATATTTACGTCTGGGACCTCTGGAATATGAATAATTAGTGTTAACCATCCAGCTGTGACTGAAAAGAATTTTATACTGGTATGAACATCTCCAATATTGGTATTGAATTCCATATTAATTGATGTTTCTAATATTTTTTGTTGTAAGACTGACTGTAAGTGTCCTGGTATCCTGCTGATGTGTATAATATATGTCTTCTCAGGTTATCAGTTGGATCCGTAATGGCGAAGCAATGCTTATGGCGAGCTTTGCGATCCCAAATTGTCTGCAGGATGCGGAGCAGCTTAAGAAGGAGCATGAACAGTTCCAGGTTGCTATTGAGGTAATGTATAGTGTACATAATGCCCAAACATGCGCTTTGATTTTGAGATTGCCGAACACAATTTACAGCTGCGTTATAAAAATACGGAAACAAATAAGATTGTTCATCTTTATATGTGGAGTTTGAGGGTAATGTGAAAATCTCATTGGCATCTAACATTTCGGAGACTGTTTTGGCCTGCGTCATCAGGGTTGATCACTCGTTATATTAATCCTGATGATGGAAGCAGAGACAGTGTCTGAAATGTTGGATTATAATGCAATTCAAACATGGCCGATCACCCACTTGAGGACATTTTCTGGTATTTTAGGTGGATTATCTTAATCTTATGTTGTTTTGCTTCTTGATCTCAGAAAACACATACATCAGCAGTACAGGTGAAGCACAGGGCAGAAGCATTGATCAGCGCAAACCATTATGATCCTCAAAGTGTCCGTGAAATTGCCGAGGAGGTTACAAAGAGGTGGCAACAGCTTGTAACATGTGCTGAGGAGAGGCATAAATTGGTCACTGCGAGCATAAACTTTTATAAGACGGCTGAACAGGTGAGTTATCTTCCATACTGGGATTACAGGTGATTTAAGCAAGATCAAAACAGACAGTACAGTACCTTGTTGTTTCAGTATGCCTAACCCCATAAGCATTTGTAATTGCTTTTAGCATACGGAGAGTTAACGTTGTGTTGAAATACCCACAGTAATGTTGGACATCATCTGTATAGTAAGGCGTATTTAATACACACGACATTTCAGTATCTCTTTCTGCTCTCGTCTTGTAATCCTAGCCAACCAAGATGGCATACATTTAGGATTTAGTGGGTTCTGGATTCAGTCGTAATCAGTGGCTTGAATAGCACAGGTAATATACAGTAAAATGTTATACCAGAATATTGACACTGAAATACTGGAAAGCGTGAATGGGACCAGCTTATGAAATGTTACATTTCTTATTATACCTCAGGAAATGGATAGTGTTCAACGTAATTTTGATTAAATGAGTTGCTTGTCATCACAGTGCTTAAGAGAGTAATTTCTGTTGGATGTTGGACGTAAATAATTTGGTAACATTAAGATTTGTCGCAAAAAATTGGTCTGTTTGCTTTGGCACAGACATGTGTGAGAAAAGGATCATGTTAATTTGTGTATTAAGTCCCATTCAGTAGCATTTGATTAACTAACTAACTAGATGGCTTACCGAACCCAAAGGTTCATCACCGAATTAACCAAAGCCCTCCACCGGACTCTGTCCTGGGCCAACAAAATCCAGTCTCCTTCAACTCCTATCTCCCATAGATCCCGCCTGAGATTATCCTCCCATCTACGTCTAGGTCTCTCCAGCGGTCTCTTCCCCTCAGGTTTCCCAACCAATACCCGGTGCACACCTCTTGTCCCATCCATGCGCGCCAAATGCCCAGCCCATCTCGACTTAATCTTCCTGAAAATGCTGGGGGAGCAGTACAGATTTTTAAGCTCGTCATTGTGCAGTTTTCTCCACGCCCCATCGTCTTCCCTCTTAGGCCCAAATATCCTCCTCAACACCTTGTTCTCGAACACCTGCAATCTGTGTTCCTCCCTCTGAGTGAGAAACCATGTTTCGCACCCATACAAAACAACAGGCAAGATTATTGTTCTGTATACTTTAATTTTCAGGTTCTTAGAAATCAGACGGGAAGACTAAATATTTTGAACTGAGAAGTAGCAAGCATTTCCAGAATTTAATCTCCTCCTAACTTCTTCATGAGTGTCATTTGATTGGCTGTGTCAATTCTTTTATGCAGGTATGTTCAGTGTTGGATAGTCTTGAGCGAGAATATAAACGTGATGAAGACTGGTGTGGTGGTGGGACTCCTGCTGAGAAAATGGGGGCTCTGGGAAGCAATGCCTCGTCTAGTGGAACAGATAAAGCAACGGCGGTGTCCCAACTTATCAACAAACACCAGGAACAGAAAGAGGCATTTCTAAAAGCCTGCACACTGGCACGCCGCACAGCTGAAACCTTTCTCAAGTACACAGGACGCAGTCTTCAATACTACAATTATCAAGGGGAAACTAGTACGCGGAACTCTGAAAACAGAGTCAAAAGTGAGTTGGTTCTTGGGTCTGGATACGTATTTGACTAAAAAGGAAATTATGTAAGGCATTATCACGTTATTATACATACTTCGTTACGTAATAAAAATACACCAACACTTATTTTACTATGAACAGGTTTTCTGTCATGGCAGAATTTTATGTTCTGAGGTTTACAGAAGCTTTTGAAATTATCCTGCTTTATACATTACAAAATAAATGTAGAATTTCAATATTGCACCATTTATCAGAGCCAAATCTATTTCAGTATTGATTTACATTTATCGGACGTGTTTGAAATGTTTATGATATTATTTTGTTCAATATCCTTTGAAGGACACAGATGTCATGTCCATTTGGTTGTTATACAACATTTTTACATAGAATTCATGAAATTAAGTTCATAAAATAGAGATCTTGCCTGCGTATTTATTTCATCTCAAACTTTGCTGCATGCATTTTGATACTCATCTGTTTCAGATATCCTTGAGAAGTTGTTGTGCCAGGAAAACAGAGTGCTGGAGCACTGGACACAACGCAAGAAGAGGCTCGATCAGTGCCAGCAGTACATTCTGTTTGAGCGTTCGGCCAAGCAGGCAATCGAGTGGATCCATGACACGGGCGAGATCTATCTGTCTACTCACACCAACGTGGGTCAGAGCAAGGAGGAGACGGAAACTCTTCTGTTTGAACATAACGTGTTCAAGGGCACGGCAAAGGTACTATATTTCCAAGTACATTCTGTTGATTATGGGTGAATGTCTTGATAGAATTTTTTTATCTGTAGAATGTTAGTGTGTTAGTTAAGGATGTAGGAATTTTTATAACGGAGAGATTCATGCTTAAAACTTTGCATACCGTGTAGTGATTTAGAATATAAAATAAGTAAACAAACACACTATTAACACTATAAAATGACACTACTGCCATACACGTTTCAACCTCAAGAGGTCATCATCAGTGGCGTCAAGGAAATTAATTCATTTAATCAAATGATTTAAACTGGATTTAGAAATAAATAAGGTGTTACGCAAAAGTATTTCTAAATCCAGTTTAAACCATTTGATTATATGAATTAATTTCCTTGACGCCACCGATGATGACCTCTTGAGGTTGAAACGCGTATGGCAATAGTGTCCTTTTTATAGTGTTAATAGTTGTTTGTTTACTGATTTTATATTGAGATTCATGCTGTTTGTTAGTATTAGTAAGGTGAACAAATGAAGGATGCTGGAATGGGCTGGACATGTGGCATGCAGAGGTTGATGAAAAATTGTGGTCAGAAAATATCGAGAGAAAACAACGCTGGGAGACGCAGGCGTAGGTAGGCCTCTACATTATTATTTCTTCTTTTAGGAAACTAGAGAGCGCGTGAAGCTCCTTATTCAACTAGCAGACAGTCTTGTTGAGAAAGGGCATGCGCATGCTGGTACCATCAAACAGTGGGTGGCCGCCGTGGACAACCGATACAAAGACTTCAGCTCTCGAATGGACAAGTACCGGTGAGTACCACGTATGACGTGCGGCCTTAGCTTGTACCCCGGCACGTTGAAATACTTATGAAATTGTCATCGGAGTGGGACCAGCATCATGAGTTCTTGGTGGTTGCTGTGTCAAAAATAAATGCAACGTAGAAACATTTGAATGTGTGTAATTTTCCTAATTGGTGTCCAAAATATTTTGTTTTGAACATTTTTCATTATAGGGAAGACAAGTTAAAAAGGAGATCTGGAAGCTATTATGCATCATTTTTTGGCTTGTAGGTGGCGGTCAAAATAATTATTTTGAGTGCATTGCTAATTCATTCTTTGACTTAAACACTCATACTAACATAATCACGTTATGAGACATCCTAAGGAGTAAACATAAACAAACTTCATTGTTCAAACTTGTACCATTTTCAAAGTAATGATTATGTGAGTAGTCGGATTGTAGGTCGTCAATGCTCTGTCGTTACTTTGCAGCTCACAGCTTGAAGGATCATTAGGAATTCAAGCCGAGGGCGAGAGCAGGCAGGATCTCTCGATTGATCGAAATTCAGATCCGTTATTGGAAACTAAGTTGAAAGATGCTGCAAACAAGGAACTGAAAGAGTTGAATGAAGAGAAGAGGAAATCAGCACGTAGAAAAGAGTGAGTTTTCTACATTGCTGTATCACTTGCAGAAATTGAAGATTGTTACTTGAGAAATATGATCTGACATAAGGAGGACTTGGAACAACCTGACACATTTTAATCTCCCGTTGCTGATATTGTGGGATTTACCGGGTTGAAAAATCTGTAGGTGCTTGTATGATTTTGTTTCTGCTTTCAAAAGGAAATATGTAATTAGAAGTATATGTCATAATGAATATAATGTGGGAGTTTTATAGATGAAGCGACACCATTACTAAAAGCAGCGACCTAAAATTGGTCATAAAGAGAATTTATTGGAAAATGATTGCTTAGGAGAACATGAATTGAACAGGAAAGATTTTACTGTTCATTTTGTTTCAACAGTCAGTGTACTGATTGAGCTGTTCCAACTCGTAATTTAGCGTACAAGGGATCCGAGATTTATCTAGTGTGACAGCATCGAGCAATAGTGAACGTTAATAGTGCAGAAGGGGTCAGCTGAGTTGGAACTCTTTCTTTTGTTTAGGTTTATTATGGCAGAGCTCTTACAGACAGAACGAACATACGTGAAGGATCTGGAAACGTGCATAAAATTCTTCTTGGATGAAATGCGTTCAGGTAGCGCAAATGTACCAGCACCGTTGCAGGGAAAGGAGGATGTCATATTTGGCAACATGGAGGAGATATATGATTTTCACAACGACGTTTTCCTCCGGGAATTGGAGAAATATGAGACTATGCCGGAGGACGTTGGTCATTGTTTTGTTACTTGGGTAAGTGCGCACATATCGACCAAGGGACATAATTGGTAATTATGTGTTTTCATGAATATGTATGTCTTAGATAACTTTTACGCGCACAAGGGCTGTTCTTGTGGAGGATTGTGATGAAGGTAGCTGATCGACCTTGTTTTAAATTTTAGTGGGTGATGATGACACATCTGATGTTATGTTTTGATTACTGACCACTACTGAGCGTCATTATTTCATATGTAAAAGTACCGTGATTTAATAATTTCAGGTCTGAAGCTCTTATTTTTAAAGCATTAATTTCTTTCAGGACTGGAAAGTGATCTTCAAAAACACTAGATAAGCAAATGAACTTGGTCTAAATCGCATTGTGTAGAAAAATAGTGACACTAAGTGTAAAACTGATTATTTATAATTAAATGACATAATATAACTATAAACTTTGTTTTCGCTAAGATGAACCAAGTGCTGGGTCAGAGATAAATGCCCAAATTTATGCCAAAAGTAGTGAACATGTGTTCCCATTTTCGTATCACTCTTGATTAAAATACAGACCAACAAACATTGACATTATTTAACAGCATTTTCATCGTGTCGTTTGCGCAGGCGCAGAAGTTTGACATGTACGTAAAATACTGTAAGAACAAGCCTGAATCAAACTCTTTGCTGGTGCAACATGGAGGCTCTTTTTTTGAGGAGCTTCAGAAGAAGCACAAGGTAGAGCACCCGATTGCAGCGTATCTTATAAAGCCTGTTCAGCGCATCACCAAGTATCAACTGCTGCTTAAGGATCTTCAGTCCTGCTGTGAAGAGGGACAGGGTGAAATAAAAGTGAGTTGATTTTCTCTTTCTAGCGGCTTTTGTTTAAGCTTCCTTGACTGTCTTCTATTTTAGTATTAAAGGTGATAGTGTACTTCTTCTGTCCCGCGCCGTAGCCGCGCGGTCTGAGGCGTCATGCTTCGGACCGGCGATACGGAATGCGCGCTGGTTCGAGTCTCGGGGGAGAAGAAATTTTCTCATGAGCTTTCGACCGGTGTATGGGACCGGTGCCAACCCAGCATCGTGAGGAAATTGGGTAGCGTAGTCCGGTCGGGAAAGCTAGCAATGGCTGGGGGTTCGTCGTGCTGACCACACGTCACCCTGTATCTGGTTGGATGATCGTTCACCTCTGCTTAGGCATGTGAACGTGAGGCCAGCAGTCAAGCTAGTCGGCTTTGGCTCTCTGGAGCTGTTTCGCCACGGATTTAATTTAATTAATTTAATGTGTACTTCTTCTATGGCTCTCCGGTCCGTATTCGGTCCACGACCTCCTCAATTCTCCTCTTCCATTCGGTCCTCTGTTAGGTCCGTCTGTCCGAGGCTTTGATCGAGGTCTCGAAACATCTTCCTTTTTACGGTGCGAGGTTGTTAGCCTTGCGACCAACCCCCAACCTGGAGGACCAGGGTACCTGTCTTAGTCTGACCTCTCCCCCTCGACCAATCTGGCTAGGGAGGCCCTACCAGTAGCTCTTGGGGTCACTGAGGTACTCGAGCCCCACCACCACGACAAGGTGCAGGTACCATTAAGTGGGGGGTAGTGTACTGCAGCAACAAGTTGGCAGAATTTTATGAGATATTAAAGATAATTTAGGCCTTTCAGTAAAATGGCCCTTTAAATGAATTAATGTGAATTAAACTTCTACATGGTATCAATTCCTCATATCAGGTTTCATAAAATCTGTGGATCTGAAGGTACTAGAAATCTTGGGTGTAATCATTCTTCATTAACCTAATAACTGTTCTTTCATATCACAATTTTATTATGAATACAAAAGTTTGCGCGATAAAGAGCCGAAAGAATTCGCCGAAGGTGGTTTAAATAACAGTACTCGTTTTGCAGGATGGCCTGGAAGTAATGCTAAATGTACCGAAGAAAGCAAATGACGCGATGCATCTTTCACTGCTGGATGGCTGTGACGTGACTCTCGACAAACTGGGGGAAGTTATCCTGCAAGATACTTTCCACGTGTGGGATCCGAAACAGATAATTCGGAAGGGTCGCGAGCGACATATCTTCCTCTTTGAACTTTATCTTCTGTTCAGTAAAGAGGTCAAGGATTCAAGTGGCAAAGCCAAGTATCTTTACAAGAACAAACTTATGGTAAGTTCTGGAAATATCGTACTTATTTATTTACAGGAACAAACAGTTCTTTAGCATTAGCAGTTGTAATAAATATTTATTTATTTATTTCTGTTTCTTCCGCAGACATCTGAGCTGGGCGTTACTGAACACATTGAGGGTGATGAATGTAAGTTTGCCGTTTGGACTGGGAGAGCCCCCATTTCCGATTACAGAATTGTGCTGAAGGTTAGTTCCGAGTTAAAATTGTACAATTAATCATTTTATTTGAAGTCTTTGATTGAGAGACCTTGAAATGCACAGCTTCTATTTCATTCTGTCATTTTAATATGTTGTGAAAAAGCAATTTTTCTTACTGGTGAATTATTTTATTGTCGCGCCGTCGTCTTAGGTGCGTGATTGTCAGTTTCAGTCAGAATTAGGAATTTCAGTTTAAAGTGTCTGAAATGTCCATTATCCCATTCAGAATTCCAACCTGGGGCAGTTGAATCCAGTCGGCACCCGCACGTCCTCTGTGATATAAATTTAAATACTGACTAATTGATAAAAAATTGTTTGCTGATGTTTTTATTCGTCGTTCTGGAAGTTTTGTAGGTATCAGGACCACATTTCAGGCACTGAACGACTTATTTTTCTAGGCATCGTCTCTTGACGGAAAGCAGACGTGGGTGAAGAAGCTGCGTGAAGTTATCCAAGAGACGTACTTCAGTACAGCACTGCCGCTCAGTATGCCAAAGAGTCCGGCTAAACTGAAGGCTGGCAGTCAGCGCTCCAGCAGGTAGGCCTCCTTAAGTAGGAATTATGAAGTGCGTGTTTATCCAAAGCCATACGTAATTACATTTTCCTTAACTTTAGATGCGTGTAGCCGCGGAACGCGTTCAATTGCCATCTAAGAGATATATATATATTCTTTATTTGCTCTATATTTGGGAAGTCCCAGGTTCAAATCTTGACCCAGATCCTCGCTGCCCTCACTTGCGATTTCTTGTATTTACTCTGTCTCGAAACCACGGAGTCTGTTTTTGAGGAGTTCACCATTCACTTGTTTCAAAAGTTCTTTACGAAGTTGAGATAGTCTGCGTGAAACTCGTTTGAGTTGCCTGGCTCATTATGGTGCCGTAATAACCTCGTCAGTATCGAGACATCGGAGAGGAGGCGAGAGAAGGGATGAAAGTCATTATGTTGTGTGCCGTATAACCTTGGATGATATGATCTAATTACTGCTGGCAGAATTAGGTGCTGAACAGCTTAATGGAAATAAGGAGTCGCACCTCCCAGGTTTTTATGGAATCCTTTGAATTATAAACTAGTATGCTGATCAATGACCGTCACGGTGGTCTAGCGGTTA